TAGCATGGCTGACCCTGGGGAACACTATTAAATGAAATAAGGCAGACACAGATGGACAAAGGCAATATCACCTCATTTGCATATAGACTCATTCGCATATAGAATCTGCAAAAGTCAAACATAGGAGCAGAGAAGAGTAGTGACCAGATTGAGGAGGTGCAACTGGTAAGTTATTGGGCAAGGACTTTCCCTTTCAGTTACAGGAAAACAATCCTGTTCCTAATTCAAATAAAAAAAGTTGAAAAAAATTTTTTCATTTACAGGGGAGATGGCTCAGCAGTTAAGAGTGAATACTGCTCTTGCATAGGACCTGAGTTTGGTTCCCACCACCTACATAGCTGCTCCCAAACTGCTTGTAACTCTATCTGTAAGGGGAGTTGATGCCCTCTTCTGGTCTCTCCAGGCACTTCATGTGCACATACTCACGGACACACACACACACACACACACACACACACACACACACACACACACACACACACAGAGCTACAAAATAGTAAGTTCAAGAGACCCACCATGCAACATAATGACTCTGGTTAATAATCTATTATAAAAAAAGTAGTTTCTATGAAAATAGTAAGAACATAATGACTCTGGTTAATAATCTATTATAAAAAAAGTAGTTTCTATGTATTGTTACCACACATATATTAATTATCCTACATATATTAATTATCCTACATATATTAATTGTCTTGATTTCATTAAGTACACCTATCACAAAACAGTAATGCTGTTCACATTATTCAGCACTCAGTAGAACAGGTAGTATGACAACCTGTTCCCAGGCCAGCTACAAAATGAGATACCCACCCTCCACCCAAAAAGACTACTTACTACTCTATTGTATCTCTCCTGTTCTCTTAAGGTCCATATTTAACGACTGAGCATGGTGGCACACACTTTTACACCTAGTACTAGGGAGGCAGAAGCAGATGAAGAAGGATCTCTGAGTTCAAGGCCAGCCCAGTCTACAAAAGAGTTCCAGGAATATTAGAGCCAGGTGTGGGGCTCACATCTTTCCCAGCACTTGGGAGGTAGACACAGAAGGATCAAGAGTTCAAGGCTAATTAGCCTGGGCTATGTAAGACCCCTCTGAGAATAAAATAAATAAGAGGCCTGAGAAATGACTATATAAGCCTGGTGACCCAAGTATGATTCTTGGAACCCACATAAAGGTAGAAGAACCAACTCCACAGAATTAGCCTCTGATCTCCATGTTTTCTGTAGTATGTGTACATATTCATGCACATACATGCATGCACACACAAAATACCTATTTTTCTGTGACACTACAGATTAAACCTAGAGGCCACCATGTGACAGGCAAAGCCTCCAACACTGAGCAACATGCCAGTCCCCCCCCCCCCCCCTTTTTTTTTTTTTTGGTTTTAGAAACAAGGCTTCTCTGTGTAGCCCTTGCTGTACTGGACTTGCTCTGTAGACCAGGTTGACCTTGAACTCTGAGATCTACCTGTCTCTACCTGCCATGGGCTGGGATTAAAGGTGTGTGCAACCACTACCCAGATTCTCTGACCCTTTAAAATGTTTATTTGCAACAAGGTCTTGCTATGTAGCCCAAGCGCCACCACCCAATTTTTGGATCCCTGCCAATGGTCACTTTTCCACCTAACATAAAATGCATTCAGAGGCCTTTAACTTTTTTTTTTTGGTCCACCTTTAACTCTTTAAGATTTTAATAGCTCAGGCTGGAAAACTGCAAGCTTATGATCCAAGGAAAAAGAGGAGGGAGGAGAGAAGAAAAGAAGAGTAGGACAGGAAAACCAAGTCTAGGCCTCCCCTGCCCCTCCCCCCAGAACTGCCTTTCGACTGCTGAGGTCCTTCTGCTGTTGAGCCTGGCTTCAAGACCAGCTGTGACAGTCTCGAACACTTAACATCAATGACTTCCTTGACTTGCTCCCTGGTCCTTTCAGGCAAGGCCTTACAGAGTTTAGAGACAACCAAGCAGGCTTCAAACCGGGCAGGGAGAAGCGAGAGAAGTGCACTGAAGCTACGCCGGGTTAGATGCTCACCTCTTTGCAGTGTTGTTCTCGCAGCAGATCTCGGAGGGTGCGGTTGGTTTCTTCAAAAGTGCTCAGTTTCTGCAGGAGAAGTTCCTTCTGCCTCGTTAAGGTGTTGATGTCAGTGCAAGTCATCTGTTTCTCCTGGAGGAGAAGCATGTGTTATGCAGCTCAGGGGAAGGCAGGCCTATGCATGTGTTACACAGCAGGAGAGACAGGCCCATGAGTACCAGGAAACTCAGACAAAAGAGCTGAGGTTTTGGGTCAAGGGCAGGTGTCCTGGAAGTGGGCCTGGGGAAGGGGAGAGGTGGAGAGGGGTGGGAATGCTCAGTGTGAGTGAGGATGTTAAGGGCAGGGTTCCTGCAGGAGGCAAGAGAGATGGCAACATCTGATGACTGGCACTTGCAGGATCAACCACATGCCTTGACTCACTGTGATCCAAAGCGGCCCATGATTTAGTCTCCTCAGATGCCCTGATCAACAGAGGTCATCTTCAAGGACCAAGGCCCAGGAAGTGAGAGTGGGGGGTTGGGACTGAGCAGTTAAGTGTGCCCTCCCCCAGCCTGGAGCAGCGGCTGCTCCATCCATTTCAGCCTCTACCAATTTTGACATGAGGCACTCCTTCTCCTGCTGGAGGTGTTTCTTCTGAAGCCTGGGGCCAGTAAAAGAGGGTTCCTGAGCGGTGGCAAGACATAGCCTGCCCAGAGCTCTGAAGCCTACCTCACAATGGCCTGAGAAACTCCCCTTCTGCCAGGAAACAATAGGGAAGGGTGCAGGAAGCCATTCCTGCCCAGGTGGCCTTGAGAACCACGAGTCATACTTGCTTCAGCCTCTACTGGAGACAGCATGCCATAACCAATGACCTCGACTATCTCAAGACTGTCTCCATGTTCTTGAGCTCACTCATCCCTTCTCATCACTGTCACTCTGGTTGTTTCAGTCTGTCTCTTGTAGCTGAGGATGGCTTTTGGACTTGCTATGTCACAGGAACTGGGCTTCAATTCTCAATCCTGGATCTACCTTCTGGTGCTGTGACTACAGGCAAATGGCACCATGCCTGGTCACTGCTCGGTTTTTAAGTATTCCCCACATCCTCAAAGTGTTACCAACAGGTTAGAGGACTCATGGCTCAAAGGTAAAGCACTGAGCATGCTCAGGCCTTGGATTCTATACCTAGAACTGAAAAAAAAAAATCCCAACTCTACACCCTGCCATCTCTGAGACACTTTTGCCCTCTGAAGCCTTTCTTAACCTACTTTCCATGCTCAAGGCAAACGATGCCCACTCTGGGTTCCCAGCATTTCATCTTCTGATGCCTACCTGTCTAACTCTACAGTCCTGTCTCCCCCCAAATCCCTGTTTAAAGGAGATCTCTGGCCACTATCCACAATACCACACTGGGTCCTCATTTTTCCCCAGGGACAGCTGTGTGCGGTACTGAGCAGGCTCCCCACAGGCACTACCAGGGTGGGCAGGAAGGGGTCAACACAGAAGCAGGACTCCTTACATAGTAAAGTCCTTCTCCTCCTTGATGCGCTCAATGTTGTGTCTGAGCACTGTGTTTTCATGCTCTGTCTCTGCCAGTTCATGAGCCACCTCCTCCAACTCCTCCTTCCGCTCCTCCAGGAACCTTTTGGCCATTTGACGTTCTCCTTTCTGCATCTTGACCTTGGAAAGGGGATACAGGAAAGAGCCACTGAAGTGACAGCTATATCCAACCCTTCTAAGAAGGGTGATAGGGTTCTGTGCCTGAGGCCTTATGGGCATTTCTCAGTCAGAAAAACATTGGCTCTCCTCCAGATACACACTCCACCCAGTCTATATTTGAAGAACCTGAGTACAAACAAGTTGAGTGATGCGTGCTAGCCAGGGGTGGGGCTAGGCAGCAACAGTAGTACAGTTGGCACGATGCAGGAGGGAAGATGTCACAAAAAAGGACAGTGGGCTAGGGAGCTAGGATGGCCTGTTTGTCAGGAAGGTTGGTCTCAGGACCTCCAATAAGTAAAGAGTTAAAGATATGACACAGAGCCGGGCATTGGTGGCGCACGCCTTTAATCCCAGCACTCGGGAGGGAGAGGCAGGCGGATCTCTGTGAGTTCGAGCCCAGCCTGGTCTACAAGAGCTAGTTCCAGGGCAGCCTCCAAAGCCACAGAGAAACCCTCGAAAAAAAAAAAAAAAACAAGATATGACACAGGAAAGTCACACATAAAAGGGTATCAATTCTTTTTCTTAAATATTAGAGAAAAGGTACTAGAGAGTTGGTTCAGTACCTATGGGACATGATTTTGGTTCAGTACCTATGGGACATGATTTCAACTCCTAGCTCCCATGCCAGGTGACTCAAAAAACTACCTGGAACTCCAGCCGTGGAGGATCCAGTGCCTCTGAGCTTCAAGGGCACCCTCACTCACATATACATAACCCACAATTAAAAATAAAAATGAGCCGGGTAGTGGTGGCACACGCCTGTAATCCTAGCACTTAGGAGGCTGAGGCAGGCAGATCTCTGAATTGGCCAGCCTGGGCTACAGAGCGAGTTCCAGGTCAGGCTTCAAAGCTACACAGAGAAACCTAGTCTTGAAAAACAAAAACAAAAACAAAAATTAAGGAGAAGTGTTGATGAGGTGACTCTGCACATAAAGGCAACTGCTACCAAGCCTGAATACCTGGCTAAACCACAGGTTGAATGGAGAGAACCAATTCCCACAAGCTGTTGTATGGTTTGAGTGAGATGGCCCCCAGTGGCTTATCTATTTGAATACTTAGTCCCAGTTTGTGGAACTCTTTGGGAAGGATTAGAAGATGTGTCCTGATGCATTTACCTTAATTGTTATAGCATTAATAAAAAACAAAACAAAAAAATGTATGACACAGGCACCTCAGCAGTAAGGGACCTGGCTTTTAATGCCAGCCCCACCTGCTTCCGGGTGGTGGTGGTGCTGAGTCCTTGCATAGCATGGGGTGTTTCCAGCTCCACTCCCTCCTCCCCAGCTTTATCTAGGCAGCAAAGGCTGGGCTCTGTTTTCTAGGCACTAAGCCAGAGGAATGACACACTCCCATAACTGTAGCCCTCAAAAAGCAGAAGAGGATAGCTCAAGAGCTACATAGTAAGACTGTCTCAAAACACAAAAAAGGGGCTAATCCTGCCAGCTTCACTGACTACAGTAATCACATCTGGCCACTACTGAGTTTACCAGGAAAGCTAAGTATTCCTGGAGAAATTCAAACTGCCCAGTGACCTCTCCAAATAGATGCCCTGGGAAGGCTTGCTGAGGAGGGGCAGGAGACCCACAGAGAGGCAGCCTGAGGGAAGCATCCACAGACCAACCTGCTTAGCCCATACTGCTTGTTCTCAGGTACTAGAAACTAGCTCCCTCACCTCAGATTTGAGACAACCGACCGCATTCATTAGACTGTCAATCTTCTTATCGTAACGGTTCATTTTACAGTGACCTGAATCGTCGTCTTCTGTAGAGAGGTCACTTAATCGCATTACCGAGACCAGCTTTTCTGAAGATGGTGGTGTGATCTCCAGGCAGTGAGGTGGATTCTGATGCAAAGGAGGGAGAGACACATAAGTGGCTGAGGTCAAGCCTCTAACAGAATTCCACTAATTATTTGTGCACTACAGGCTTGCTGATTACCAAGGTGGCTGGCACAGCCAACACAAACCAATGGCCAACCACAGAGATCCTGCCCAGGAACAAGCCGCTCCAGGCCCTCCTGAGGGGGAACATTACCTACCCAAGTCTAAGTGATGCTTTTAAAGGATTTCTAACAAACATTGAAAGAAAAGGCATGGGTTAGAATGTTAATTTTTTTTGGTTTTTTGTTTTTTCAAGACAGGGTTTCAAGCCTCCAAAACTACACAAAGAAACTCTGTCTCGGAGGAAAAAAAAAGAAAAAACTGGGATTGGTGGCACACACCTATCTTGAGAGGTAAAGGCAGGAGGATCATAAATTCAAGGCTACACCTTTAGTCCCATGAGGCAGGAGAATAACTTGAGCTAATGAATTCAGGTCAGCCTGGGCAACATAGCAATACCTTTTCAAAGGAACTAAAGCATGATGAAAATACATTTCCAGAGCTGGGGGCTATAGCTCAGGGTAGAGCACCTTTGAGCACCACCTGGTTTTAATTGCTAGTCATGCAAAAACAGAAAATTTACAGAAACACCTCATGCAGTCACAAGAAAAATATGCCTCAATTCTTACTAAGAGCAAAAGAATGGGGCCACTTCTGAGAAAAGAGAATATTTAAAAAATGACAACTCTCTTTTCAAACAGCAATAGTCTTGTAGAACACTGGCCTCGTATATGCAGGGCCTTTAATCCTGAGTGAAAAAACAAAACAAAATAGGGCCGGAGACATGGCTCAGCAGTTAAGAGTATTTGGTATTCCAAGCACCCACAGGGCTGCTCACACCTCTTTTTTTTAACTCCAGTTCCAGGGGATCTGACACCCACTCTGGCTTCTGCTGGCACTGGATGCAGATGGTATATAGACATACATACAGGCAACACACACACAATAAATAAATAAATAAATAAATAAATAAATAAATAAATAAAAATAGGCCAGGCAGTGGTGGCTAATGCCTATAATCCCAGCACTTGGTAGGCAGAGAAAGACAGGCGGTTCTCTGTGAGTTTTGAAGCCAGCCTGGTCTACACAACTAGTTTCAGGACAGCCAGAGCTAAACAGAGAGACCCTGTCTCAAAATGCCCCCCCCAAAAAAAAACACCAAATAAAAACCCCTGAAATTCACACAGGGGGGAAAATGTGATGAGAAATGACCGGGGTAGAGGTTACTGTGGTAGGTAATAGGGTGGTAGTGATGAGAATAGGCCAGAGGTAAGGGGAAGCTGGGCACAGACACAGAGGTGCACATCAGCAATCCTGGCACTGGGAAGGCAAAGGTTCTCTGTGAACCTTATCTACATAGTGAGTTCTAGGTCAGCTATGCAGTAAAACCCTTTCTCAAAAAAATTTTTTAAAAAGGGAAAAAACTTAGATCCTCTTTCTCCCCAAGAGAAACAATGGTATGCAGGACCAAGCAGGGGAAGGCATGGGATCAGTGGCAGGCTGCATGCTTAGCTGAGTTCAACCCCAGCACCACCACCACCAAATCACACAATACCTCAGAGGCAGGGCTGCAGAGATAGATAGCTCAGTGCTTAAGAGCTGTTATATCAATGTGGTTTACAACCATCTGATCCAGGCAATCCAAAACTGCCTTCTGACCTCTGTGACACCAAGCATACATGGGGTACATACATACATGAAAACAAAACACTCAAGCATGTAAAATAAAATCAAACAAACAAAGAAAACAAAACAAAAAACAGGAAAAACAGCTGCAGTTTGGATTCCTGGGAGAGCTTGGAAAAGTCACTTCTTTGGGGAATCTCTGGGATTAAGCTTCCAGGCAAAACAGCAGGATTATTTCTCCCAGCAACCCACTGTTACAGGAAGCCAATTTCCACTGTGTGTGTGTGTAGGTCAGAGGACAGATTTTTGAGGTTGGTTCTTGACATCTATACCTCCAGGATTTCCAGGAACTTAACTTCGATCACCAGGCTCAAATGGCAAGACTAGTACTTTTGTCCACAGAGCCATTCACCATCCTCTCATGGCAGCATTTCATTCCTTCTGCCACGTAGGTCCCAGGGACTGAACTCAGATCATCAGGCAAGTACTTTTACCCACAGAGTATCTTTTTTTTTGGTTTTTCGAGACAGGGTTTCTCTGTGAAGCTTTGGACCCTATCCTGGCACTCCCTCTGGAGACCAGGCTGGCCTCGTACTCACAGAGATCTGCCTGCCTCTGCCTCTGAGTGCTGGAACTAAAGGCGTGCGCCACCAACGCCCGGCTCCCACAAAGCATCTTGTTGGCCCCTTTTTTCCTTGTTTTTTAATACTGCAGCCTTAGTTTATCCAGTGCTAGGATTAGGAGGCATGAGCCACCAAACCAAATTTATGGTGAGCATAAATAGATCCAGGATGGCCTGACCTCAACATGTAGCCTAGAACGGCCTCAAACTCATGGCAATCTTCCTGCCTCATCCTTCTGAGTGCTGAGATTACAGATGTTAGCCACAAAACCTGGCAAGTTTTTGTTCCATATTGTCCCAGGGTATATGTAGCCTGGGTTGGCCTCAAATACACAGCAGTCTTCTTGCCTTGGCTCTTCAGAGCTTGGATTACAGACACATCTCCCCAACCCCCATAAGTGTAATTTTTAAAATATCTAGAAATAGGCTAGAGTTGCAGCTCAGTTTGTAGAGTGCTAAGCATGTGTGAAGCCCTGGGTACAATCACCAGGACTACCAAAAACACATAAAAAGACACAGTAGTTTATGCCTATTGTTCCTGCAGGAGTATCAGAAATTCAAAGCCAGAGACAGGAAGACAGCTTAGTCAATAAAGTACTTGCCACACAAACATGAAGGTCTGAGTTCAATACCCAGAACTCATTAAAACATCCAGGCTCAGGGGCTAGAGAAATGGCTCAGCCGTTAAGAAGACCGATCAGCCGGGCGTTGGTGGTGCACGCCTTTAACCGCAGGAGGATCTCTGTGAGTTCAAGGCTAGCCTGGTCTCCAGAGCGAGTGCCAGGATAGGCTCTAAAGCTGCACAGAGAAACCCTGTCTCTAAAAAACAAAAAAACAAAACAAAACAAAAATTTCAGGCTCAGTGGTACATGCCTATGATTCCAGCTCTGGAGGGATAGAGACTGGAGGATCCCTATGGCTCATGGTCATCCAGCCTTACCTACTTGGCAAGTTTCGGGTTCAGTGAGACCATGTCACAAAACAAACAAACCAAGTTGCATATCTCTCAAGGAAAAGACCCCAGAGGCTGTCCTCTCACCGCCCTGTGTCCATGAACCTGCACACCATGCACACACATACTTTTTTAATTGTTAAAAGGAGCAGAGCCAAGGGTGTGGCTCAGGCCTTTAATCTCAGTACTAATGAGGGAGAGTGCAATGGATCTTGGGGAATGCAAGGCCAGCATAGTCTACATTGTGAGTTCCAGGACAGTCAAAGAACTATATAATAAAGACCCTGTCTCAAAAAAGGAAAAGGGCTGGAAGGCTGGGCATAGTGGCACATGCCATTAATCTCAGCAAAGGACGAAATCCCAGCACTCGGGAGGTAGAGGCAGGCAGATCAATGTGAGTTCCAGGACAGCTTGATCTATACACCAAGTTCTAGAACAGCCAGGGCTACACAGAGAAACTGTCTGGAAAAACAAAAAACAAAACAACAACAACAACAAAAAAAAAACAACCACAAAAAGAACAAACAAAAAAACTCAGCAGAGACAGGAAGATGATGTGAGTTTGAGGTCAATCAGAGCTACACGATAAGTTCTAAGCCAGCCAGGGACAAGCAGACTGTCTCAAAAAGTAAAACCAAAAAAAGATCTGCTAGAGTGGAGAGATGGCTCAGCATTAAGAGGGTGTGTGCACTGTCATTGGACAGAACTGTCAGTACCCACATCTAATGATATACAACTGCCCATAACTTCAATTGCAGGGGAGTCCAAAGCCTCAGACCGCCTCAGGCTTCGGCACTAATGAGGACACACCCACACTACATATAACTAAAATGAATCTTGGGGCTGGAGAGATGGCTCAGTGGTGAAGAGCACTGGATGCTCTTCCAGGGGACCTGGGTCTAACTCCAGCACCCACACAGTGGCTCACAGCCATCTGTACCTCCAGTCCCAGGAACTTATTGCCCTTCACAGGCTTCCATGGTCACTAGGCACAAAAGCGGCACAGCCGTACACGCTGACAATCACTCATGCAAATAAACAATTTTTTTTTGTTTTTTGTTTTTTGTTTTTTTTTCGAGACAGGATCCTCCTGCCTCTGCCTCCTGAGTGCTGGGGTTAAAGGTGTGCGCCACCAATGTCCAGCAACAAATTTTTTTTAAAGATTTTATTTATTTATTATGTATACAACATTCTGCTTCTGTGTATATCTGCACACCAGAAGAGGGCACCAGATCTCATAACGGATGGTTGTGAGCTACCATGTGGTTGCTGGGAATTGAACTCAGGACCTTTGGAAGAGCAGTCGGTGCTCTTAACCTCTGAGCTATCTCTCCAGCCCAACAATTTTTTTTAAATCTTAAATTTTTAAAAGAAATTCAAAGTCATCTTTAACTACCTATTGAGTTTGAAGCCAGAGTAAGCTTCGCTAGACTGTCTCAACAACAAAAATACCTTAAAAAGTTGATACCTCATATGCTTAATGTCGTAGGATAATTATAACCTTTTACCTCCTTTCTGTTTTTGTTTTTTTTTTTTAAGATTTACTTATTTTTATGTTTTGCTTGCTTGTATGTCTGTACATCATGTGTGTGCCTTATGCCTGCAGAGGCCAAAAGAGGGTGTCACATGAAATAACTGCGAACTGACTCCCTTGGAGTCAGAGCTGGAGTTAGGCCATGTGAGTGACCTTGTAGGTGCTGGGATTGAATCTGGGTCTTCTGAAGAGTATTCAGTGATCTTAACCACTGAGCCATCTCTTCTAGTGCTTTTAAACTTCTTTCCATTCAATAAAAATGGTACCTTGCTGCACTGGTTTCAATTTCTTTATTTTTTTGATTTTGAGACAAGGCCTCACTAAGTCTCAGCTGGCCTCTAACTCTTAGCAAACTTCCCGCTTCAGTCTCCCAAGTGCTGGGATTACAGACATTTACCACATCTGGCGTGGTGCACGCCTTTAATCCCAGGAGGCAGAGGCAGAGGCAGAGGCAGAGGCAGGCAGATCCCTGTGAGTTCGAAGCCAGCCTGGTCTACGAGAGTTCCAGGACAGGTTCCAATGCTATACAGAGAAATCCTGTCTGAAAAAACAAAAAAGATTTATTTATTTATTTATTTAATATATATATACATATATATTAAATAAATAAATGTATCCCTTCGGGCCAGCAAGGGGGCACCAGATCTCATTACAAATGGTTGTGAGCCACCATGTGATCGATGGGAATTGAACTCAGGACCTCTGGAAGACCATCCAGTGTTCTTAACCTCTGAGCCATCTCTCCAGCCCCTATATCAACCTTCTTTTGGGGAAGCAGTGTCTTTTATAGTGGCAATACTGAGGCAGTGAACCAAGGACCTCACACATGCACTCTGCCAGTTAGCTTCACTCTGGAGCCAGAAATGCTCATATTTCTTGTGTTCTTATACTGTTCTCAACACTTTACATGCATTCTTGAGGATACCCAGATTCCTCTTGTCTGCTGAGGATAAACTGACAAATCAAAAAATCAAATCCATGTGGTATGATTATGAATGTCAGAATTACATCCATTTTTGGGTTTCTCATTTCAGAGTAACAACTATAAGAAAAGGACTGACTCTAAAAAATCAGGCTGAGCACGTTTTTTTCAACAGGGTCTCACCATGTAGCCCTGTCTGGCCTGGAACTTACTATGTAGACTAGGCTAGCCTGGAACTCAGATCAGCCCGCCTCTGCTCACAGAGTGCTGAGCCTTTACTTCTAGTGATAATGAGAATGTTGTTCAAAACACAGTCAAAAGCTTTTTTTAAGCCTTTGAGTTCTTTGCTGCAATCACTTAAACGAAGAATAAAGAAACACGTCTTGCCAGGCTTGTAGCTAGAACCCCTGTGCTGGCAATACCTGGTACAAGTCTCAGGGAATGTACTGTGTATGAATCATTGGATGGATGGCTGAGTAGGGGTGGTTGACGTAGAACGATGGCTGGGGTTGGGGGACAAGTGGGTGGGTGGCTGGGTGGGTGGTTGGATGGATGGATGGATGGATAGGTGGTTGAGCAGGTGCATGGATAAATATTAAGGTATAAGACACATATGCTCTACTACTGAAAGCAATCATTATTTCCCCCATAGACTGTTCCAAACATAGTGTGAATAAGATACTTGAATCATCCATATGGCCACATTTTCTTAGCTATTTTATATGTTGGTATATGTACATTTGCACATATACCGAACCTTAGCTTTAATTATGCTTCAGGTACTATGACAGACACATAAATCTGTTTAGCAAAGCAGAGGCTGAGTTCAGTCTCCAAAATGAAACAGATCCTAACTCCAGCTCTGCTGCTCAGCTCCAGAGACAGCAGTTCTCAGCTGTTTCATCTCTATGCTAGAACAGCAGGACCCCACCACACAGCAATGCTACAAGTAGTGCTGTATGCTTTTGGAGTTTAGTAAGGCACTCAATAAATGAGGCATACTGTAATTTCTGCAATCATACCAAGTTTGAGGCCTGCTAGAGTCTGATTGACCAGTCCAAGAAGAGAAGCCTGAACAAGACTGAGCCTACCTCCCACTTGCATCCCACATGCCGGGCAGATGATTTTCCAGGGGGCATCCAAGGTACCTTGGTTTTCACCCGGACACTCCGCCGTACATTCACGGTGTCCCCTTTCATTCCGCGCTTATGAGATTTCTGTGGAAAGAGACAAACTAGAGTCATCTCTAGGCCCAGCTGCTCAGTGCCCCTCTAATGGCACACATCAACTCTCCAGGGATGCCTCTTCTGGGTAACTTTACTGTTGCCTACCTTCGTAATCAGAAAAGTTTGAGTGTCTCCCAAACCTTTGGAGTCAGAAGGGTGAGGAAGCTGGGCCAGGAGACAGTGCCCTGATCCACAGCTGTGACCTCACCCCACTGTCATGTTCCTACCTGGCTGTTGGCTGCTGACGGTTTCGGGAGTTTTTTTATGTGGACGTGGACAGGAGTGTTCTCATCCACGTGAACATGTAAGGGGGGAGTTGAAGATCGGTCCTTCATAGTTCACCTCTGGCAGGCAGGGGAGGGCAACACAAAAAAGGTTGATCTGTGGATGAGTAAACTGGGCATGAAAACAAAGCTCAGAGGCTTCTGGGACACCTGAAAGCTCAGCCACCAAGCGAGCAGGACAGCTACCAACTACAAGCATGCAGGCAGGAAGCAAGGCAGGAGTATCACTTAGGCAGACTCTGCAGAGGTCCCAGCTGAGGCCTCCAGGTCCACTTGGGACAGGGTTCTCTAAAAGCCCAAAGGCAAGCCACAGAGGGGTCCTCAGAGCTGCAGTTCCACTGGCCTGGGCACACTGGCCTGGGCAGCTCCTTCTTGGACTTAGTGTAGCTCAGCTGCAAAGCTGCATCTTTCAACCAGGCATGCAAATTAGCATGGGAAACTGTACACAAAATGATTAAGGCATAGATAAATCAGGACACATGCAAGTAAGACACTAGGGCATAGAGAGCTAGTGGTCATGCCAAGGGTAAGAAGGTTGTGTTGACTAAAGAAAACATGAGCAGGGCTGTACCCCAGGTACAGGTGCCCTGTCCACCAGCAGCTCCTATCCTGTCTCTCTTATTTTTACTTTTTTTCTTTTCCCTCTTTAAAATATCTGTTCTAAAGATGCTGGAAGTCTACCAAGACAACCTCCTCACACCTGGCACTTTCATCAGCAAGCAGAACACCTGGGCCCTCACAGTATTGGCAGCCCTAGCAAAGGCTTGCAGAAGCGTTTCTGATGGTGCTGTTGTGAGAGTCACCTACCGTCACAGTTACACTGGGTGCGCCACAAGGTGTTCTCAAGACCTTTTTCTGTGTGAGACTCGTTACTCCGTTCTTCCCACACGATGGAAACCTGTACCCGGGCACAAGAACCAGATTATGAGCAGAAAACCAGGGTTCTCCTATTTCTCAGCTCTTGGGAGATGACACACTGCATGTGGTGGCCTATTGAGTTGACAGCCAGGAGAACCAATCTTGAATCCCTTGGCTCCCTGTAGATGGGCACAAGGTACGCATGGTGTGCCCAGCAAGAGGATGGAAACAAGGTGAAGGGTGTCTACAAGTCTGGCCTTTTAACCTGCATCGCATCATATGTATTGTGACCTTTTGCTGAAAAGGCTACCTGTCATCCTACCAGGTAACAAAAAAAAAAAAAGCTGCCAAGGTAGTCTCAAACAAGGGTGGTGGTCAGTGTCTGGAAGACAGGTTCCTCTGGGGAAACATTCAGTGAAAGGTTAACCTAAGAAACTAAGAGACGTCTAGAGCACTCAACTAAGCAGCGAAGTCTATGAGACTCAAGCTTATAAAACAAAGGCTCACTCATTTGCCTAAGCACATGAAGAACCCACTTCCCAATGCAGTCCATTGACTGCCCTGCAAGAGCCTTGCCTGTATATACACAGCCCAACATGAGACATGGAACAACAGCAAATAATATAATCCAGAATTAGCAGTCCAGCCAAGAATTCCAGGCTGGGGGAGAAGGATTTAGATGGTCAAATTAACATATCCCACTGCCTCCTTGCAGTCCCCAAATAGCCTTTTGCCAACCTCACAAATTCTTGGGGGAAATACTAAAACATGAAAACAGCACCAGTGTGCATTTTGCTCAGTTGACTTACAACTATTTGCTGAGCTGGATGTCATTTAGAAGACTGTCCAAACTAGGAACTCAGCTTTTCCCCCTTCTACTTACTTGTAACATTTCTGCTCACTCAGAGAAACTAGTTTAGAGGTGGCATGGTGGGAAATGCTTAAGCCACCATATGGAAGGTAGAGGTAGAGGCAGAAGAATCAAGAGTTTGAGGACAACCTTGGCTACCTGGTAAGTCTGAGTCAAGCTGGCCTCAGACCTTCACACTCCATTGTTAAGACAAGAGTGATCTTGTTTGCTACTAGAAAGCTGTAGCGTCTTGGGGGGTGAAGGGGATAGAGTTGGGGTGGGGAGAGGAGGCCGGTAAGCCTGTGTGTCTTTACTGCTCACTATACAAAGTCACTTTTAAGTGGTTTTGGTCCAGACTTTCAGTACCTGGGAAACTAAAAGAGAAGTTTCCATTGAGCGTGGCCTGGGGAGCCCTAACCACCTTTCCCTGCCCTACTGCAAAGGCGCCCCCCACATTGGCTGTACCTGGGGGAGCCGCCTGAGGATGAGGCAGACATGGCTAAGCATCAAAGCCGCAAAGGTGGGCAATTGGGTCGGCAGGCTCTGCTCAGGGGGACCCAGAGGGGCTTGCCAATGAGAATCTCAGGGGCCAGGCATCAAACGTCCTCTCTCTGAGGGGAGGAGGGTGGAAGCTTTGGGGGTGGCAGTTGGATGAAAACTTGGGAGGCGCTCCTCTACTGTCCAAGTCGCACAGCAACTGTCCTGCCAAAGTGGGGAGGGGGAAGACAGGAGAGGCTGAGCGACTTGCGGGGTGGTGCCGAGTGAGCTGCCAGAAGGCAGGTGGAGGGCGAGGCGGAACAGAGAGAGGACGCGTCACTGAAAGACGATCAGCATGCCCAGGCCCCACCCGGGAAGGAGAGCGGGCCGATGGCTACCAGGGGTTAAACCTGAGGGCTGGCTGGAGTGCGAAGAAGGTGAGAACCGCTAGGCCCCAAGTGGGCCCCCCAGGGGCGGGAACCCGCGCAGGGAGCTGGAGGGATATTCGGGGCGGTACCCCGGCAACTGTCTCCTAGGTGAAGGGGCGTTCCCGGCAGAATAGCTACCGGGAAGACCCAACAGGTGGAGAGGGAGAAGCGGCGGCCAAGGCAGGTGACAGGGGCAGCCGGACAGCTCCAAGGCCGCCCGCATCCTCGGGGCTGGCCGGGAGGATCCCCGGAGGCCGGCCCAACACGCAGGGAGCAGGGGTAGCCTCCGGGGAGGATGAGGCACACGGCCACCCACCAGCGGGCAAGAGGGCACGGGGTTCTGCCCATAGAAGGGCGCAGCCCTGCCCGAGGGCAGCAGAGGAGGGAAAGAGCCTTGCAGAGGGCCAGGAGAGGACGG